GTTGCCCCCCCCCCCCACTGATCTGAAATCTAGCAATCAAATCACATCCCTTGATTCATTTTGTTATCATGCATTAAGTTAACTTGGAAGATGGAAACGTCATACATTCATTCAGCAGCTGGAAATATTCCANNGATTTTAATTGTGGACAGCAGGCTGCAAGCGACAAATAACTACTGAAGCTTGTGGCTGGATATGTGGTGGGTGATCCTTGGGAAAATACTGGTTGCAGGCAACAGAAAACCCTTCATCTAGCCTGCAACTTTTATGGATTCACATGCTGCAGAAAAAAAACTGCTACTTTGAAGACTTGTCCCTAACATTCAAACAGAGGTAAATATGCAAAGTCAGAATTTGAGGGAGAAAGGACACAATTATTTTGTGGGTGCTGCAGAAAAGTAATATAACAAGTACTGTAATCAATTACCATTGGCAGGAAATAATAAGTAACAACTAATCAAGGAAATGTATGAATTGAGAGTTTGTAGTTCATGCTATACACATGCAAAAAGATAATAACAGTATAGAATAACATAGAAAATAAAATAAATAAATATATACAGTTATTTATATACACATACATGTATATACCCCAGGAAATAATTCAATGCATTAAATTAAATAGAATTTTTTAAGTAACAAGCCCAACACTGTATTATTGCGTAGTTGTATTTAGTTCATATTCATGACTCAGCTTTCAGACCAGCAAAGCAAATATCAGCTGGTTTAGTGACAAACAGTGTTAATAACCTAAGCTAGTAAACATCATTGAGAATGTGGATAAGGGAGCTTTTGGACTGTATCGGTCTGGAAAGCTAAGTTACATTGCAACGGGCAAGCAGAAAGACTTTGTTCAGCTCTGGGAGCCTTACATGAACATAATTAAAGATGTAAATGTAGGCTTTTCCTGAAAGTACATTGTAAACATGCAAATTAAGTTTAGTTTTGTTTATATATGATGCAGGTTGACTCCGTGTGTGTGTGTGTGTGTGTGTGTGTGTAATGTACGTATTTGTAGTCTCAAACTGTTGCATTGTTATTGTATGTTTTGATGATGGAATGTTAGAAAATAAGAAAATAACGGTAAACATATTGTGAAAATGAAAGAAAAAGAATGGCAGAGCATCGTACAGGCTTGGGGAGTAACGGATTACATGTAATCAGGATTAAAAAAAAATGTATTTATCCTTTACAGTTACAGGAAAGAAAACATAATCAGAATAAAGTTATATTTCGTTACAATGGGGATTATGAGCAGAATAATAATCTATAGATAAAAAAATTGTCTCTCAAATAAAGAACAATATACTACCATGCACACATGCAGTCCATTTCACCAGTCTCACAGTGGCACTGACAGTGGTCTCAATAGAACCAACTAATCTTACAGTTACAATTCATTATCATGGTCACAAGTGAAAAAAAACATTTCATCAATATTCTGTCTTTAAAGGAAAAGGGACTAGATCACAGGACAGTGTAAATTCAATTGTCAAAATCAAACTGTCTTTGGACTATTGCTGGTATCTGAGTTAAAGTGATCAGCAAGTGATTAGTTGCTAGTGGGTTTGGTTATCCAACTACAACTAAAGTTTGCTGATAAGAACACAATGCTCTTTTCAGGCACCACTGGCTATGTGTATATCAAGAGGGAAGGTGACTTTGAACAACATGGGCTTGTTGCATAATCTCTCCCTCAGTCATATACTGCAGATTGCTTTGGTGGGCGTAGAACTGGACCGAGAATTACATAAGAGAGTGAAACATGCACACGCAGCCGAAGAAATGCACAGAGAGAAGAGCAGTATCTGTGCATATATCTGGAAACTGCAGAGAGCCTTTCTGCTCTCTTCTGAATTGTTTACATAGCCCTGTGGGTATGCTACTGTCTTGAGTCAATTTGGACTAATCCCTGTAAAATAACCATTATCCTGTGTACACTCTGATGTGTAGACTAGTACACTACAGTAAGTAATCTGTCAACACAGCCAAATACCAGCTTAGATAGGTACTCAGCCTTGGTGAAGGATTCAGAGACACGCAGTACAACTCAGTGGCTGAAGCCTTATCAAGCCTATGGTTGGCTTCATAAACAGCTTGTGATGTTGCATATGCACCTGTAAATGATTTATTTTTACACATCTACCCATATCCACCTACCGCATGTACATAAAAAATAACTGCACAAAAATATTTATTCCAGCATCCTTTGCACTCTTTTGTCTTACTGTCTACAAATGTTGTTTATATATCAGCATACATTTACGTTGCTGTCAATGTACATACACAGAATAAGC